GCTCACCTAGCTAGCTTCAGCCGTTCACTGTGAACGGTGGCAGTGGCAGGGCAAGGCACTGGTATTGGCAAAGCAAAGCAAAGCAAGGCACTGGCACTGGCGCTGGCACTGGTAAGGCAGCGCAGTGCCAGGGCAGCATCCCTTTCATTTCAGACGGCCTCTGACTGCTGTCGCGGACGGGTCGCATTTGCAAATGCAGCGCGTTTGCTTCTTTTTAATGCAATGGCCGAATGGCTCTCCTTATAACCTAAACTATTCTTTTAAAAGTCTATCTTTTAAAAACTGATTTTTATTGATTTTTATTGACTGAAGTTTTTACAAAAAAAATTTTTTATTTGATATTTAAAACTTTTACTTTTTTAAAATTATAAAAAACATTTTTTATATCTTGGTTTTTTATCATATTTTTTGCAGAAAGTCAGGTATGTACTAACAATTTTTTGTTTGTTATTTGCTTTAAACAACTTAGTTAGTTGTTACAATTTTAACCACAGCACTTTTATCTTGTAGCTTGCAAAAACCTCATTACCGGCACAAGAACAGTAAACTCATTTAAACTACAACAGTGTCAAAAATGGCACCGGCTAAAAAAACAAAAAATCAGCCGTACAGGACTACATCAAGATACAAGAAAAGGAAAAAGAAGAAGGTCCAGGCAAAAAAACCAGTAGTTCCAGCGGCGGTTCCAGAAAATCCAGTTGTTCTAGAAGATCCAACTGTTTCTGATGAGCCAATGGTTCCAGAAAATCCAATTGTTCCAGAGGATCCAATTGTTCTGGATGAACCAGTTGTTTCAGATGAGTCAGTTGTTCAAGATGATCTAATTGTTTCAGATGATCCAGTTGTTCAAGATGATCCAACTGTTCCAAATGAACCGGTTGTTCCAAATGTTCCAATTGTTAATATTGAACGCCCACTAGCCATCGACGCCACTGCCCAACGTCTTCTTGGATGCGCTTTTGTCCAGACTGAAAGTAAGTGTTTCACCATATTTGCTTAAACTTAGTCCCGAGCCAAAAATAAAATTTACACTAAAACATTAAAACATAAAAAATTTTTAAAATAACTAGAAACTAATAAATGGAAACTGACAAGTTTTTAGTTTAAGTTTAAATTTAAGTGTTTGACAAAAAAGTTGTTAAATAGTTGTAGAGAGTTTTGTGCCATCATAAATTGAATAAGAGATATAACATTGAACACAATTTGAGAGTTACAGGCAAAACGGTTATGAAAATTCAATCAGCAGCAACTTTGTTCGATAGCAAAAGACTTCAATGATGAAAAGATGCAAAGCTGGCCAATTCGGTGCATACAGTGCCCACGTAGGGGTGCTACGATGCAGGTACCTTGGGGTGCTATACAATCAGTTCAGGGCACTGAAACCTATGCACAGAAGCCCCCAAAACTCCACAGCACATAACAGCACAGTAGAGTGGCAGCAGCAGCAGCAGAACTAGACACTGAGACACACTGGCTTAAGGGGAAGAGTAAGACAAGCAGCTTAAGTGGCCCTCTAAGCTGCTTTCAATTGGGAAGAAAGTGCAAACTGCTTAAACCGTTTTGCCTGATTGAACTAAACTGCTACCTAAAATATTTCACTTTGTTGCAATTTTTCTTTTTCCCTTCACTTTCTTACTTTCTTTTTTCTCCAATTTCTGCTACTACTTTTTTCTCTGCAGTTCCAAAGACGATGCAGTGCCGGCTGAAGAAGGACTTTGAGTTTCGCATTCACGCCGCTTTTCTCACGCGGGCCAATCTGTACGCCTTCTACTACCATTCGGCGGAGATGACGCTGCGCCTCGCCCGCATGTGTCGCTTCAGCCAGACCTGGGAGCGAATGATCGGCTTCAGTCTGTTCCAGGCGGAGAAGACGATCCAGCACGTGCTGCCGCTGCCCTGGACGCGCCACAAGCAGGTGCTGCTCTTCGTGAACAACGGCATCCGCCTGCTGCGCATGGACCGCCCCGACGGCATGACGCTGAGCAATGTCGACCTCCGCCAGATGGTCGAACTGCCGCCCGATATGGTCGTCAACGTGGAGGTGAACCTCTTCGTCAACTGGGTGGCCGTCACCGTGGACGAGGACCGGCCGGGCCTGTACTGCCTGGCGGAGGTGTCCGCCGGCCAGCTGGTGAACCGAGAGCTGGGCGTGTATCGCATGGACTGGCCGACGCAGGCCTGGGTGCGCATACCCCTGCCGGAGACGCCCACCAAGCGGCTGGTCAGAGGCGACTTTATCATCCAGCACGGGCCGTACCTGTCGATTGGCGTGGTGGAGCGGCGCCTTCATCCAGAGGAGGGCAGCTACATTCGACGGGCCAATCAGTTTGAGCAAGTTGTGGCCCTCACTCACGTGGTCAGTCGCTTGAAACAGTTTTTTCGGTTAAGTTTAGAGCTTTTTTAATAAGGGTTGTTTTTCTTTTCTTTTTCTAGATCCGCATCAACCTGCACGACTTTGACTTCAACATCTACATCATACCGCCCCAGCTGGACCAGTGGACGCTAGATCACCAGGTGGCACTGAAGTACTCCTACATTGGCAGCAAGGTCTTCATCATGAACGCGCTGGCCACCACTGTCGACGGCTACATGACGGTGGTAAAAAATCAACTCTGGGTTCTAGATTTAAACTATCTGCGAATGAACAAACTAAACGACGGCCCCGTGGGCACGGTGAAGACCTTTGAGCCGGAGTCGCCCAAGGCGGCCATGGAGCGGGAGAAACGTAAAGCGGAAATGGCCATGGCAACGGCAATGGCCGCCGGAGACATCCGCCTAGCGACTGCTTTCTTTGCCGCCGTCGCCCGCGGTGATAATGTTATTGGGGAACCGGGTGTTGTTCACCCGCCTGCTCCTGCTAATGGTAACAATACAAACTCTGGAGCAGCAAACTCAGCTCCCGGCCCCTCCTCTTCTTCCCTTTCCAAAGAGGGCGTGCCAGTTTCTGAAGGAGACGGCCAAAAGGATGGCAGCACCGTTCACCCGCACTTGAAGGCCACCATTCGCATCGTCTCCGAGGTGCCCGCCTCGAAGCTGCTGATGCGCAACTTCATCATCGCCATTGGCTCCGAGCGGCGAGACCTCTGGGCACTGAACACCAGCCCGCTGACCTCGCCCACCGACCAGATCAACATGTA